TTAAATATTAAAATTCGAGTGATTTATAAACTATATATAACTATAGTAAAATATAGTACTATTTTATAAACTTTTATGAATGAAAAATAAAAGATTTTGGATAAATATAAATATATTTATATTTGTAAGATATATTATTTAAAAATATTTTACTTGGAATTTTTGACAAATTGCTTTGAAAATCAGGAAACTCAGAGAATTTTTTTTAGATTTAAGCAAATACCCTGAATAGCCAACTTTTTAAGTTTCTAGACTATGTTCAAATTATTACCATCTTTTTATCTACAGATCCTCATTTAATAATGGAAATGAATTTCTCGCGGCAAAAATATCGAGAGGACACAATTATACGGATAAAGACTACCGATTGGTCAATACGTCTAATACATCCATTCATATTTTGCTATTGACGCATATTATAATAATTTAATTCTAATAATTCACGCACTATTCGGCATTATTCTACGTAACCAAATCGTGAATTATAATTTTCATAATTAATATCGTTCGAACAGACGCCATAATTAATTTCTGTATAGAAATGCCGGGTATAAAATAGAAATCCAATCGGACCCTTGAAGCGAATCGAACTAATCAATCGCGATTATATCATTAGCGTTCGCACTACGAAACAAATGGCGGGACGCGAGACGGTCATTAAACAGCGGAGACGATTATATGCGGCATCGACCGTCCCGGAGATACAATGGACGGGGCACGCCGGCTGCTAAAGGTTATCGCCGGAATAAAGGATTCCACCGCGACGTTTCGAATCACGGCTCTCGCTCTCCGGGCCTTCCGAGGTGGAAGCGGCGCGCGCGCGCGCGCGCGCGCGAGGTTTCTTCCGCTCCTTTCATTCCCGGCACGTGGCTTTGTACTTTTGTTCCTCCCGGAGTTTGCGGCAGTTCTGCGCGGGGTTTCTTCCGCTTGGAATCGCGCTTGCAGCTCGCTAACTGGCGGGTCCGTCATCGGCCGCGCACGTATCCCGATTATACGTCGCGTGCGTGCCCAGACAGTCGAAGGGATTTGCTCGCGTGTGTCGAGATCGAGAGATCGGGAGAACGACGGTTTCCCCGGTCTTCCCCCGTCTCCGGGAACTAGCACTTCGTGACTTGACGTGCCCGGAATGGAAACGCCTCTCACCGCGAATTTAAAGTCGCGGAGTCTCGTTAGCGTGGCGAGAAGAGAAAGCGCGGAAAGAGGGGGGAGGAGAGAGAGAGACACGTCGTTTTCTAAATTATTTTCATAGCCCTATTATGGAAGATTGTGCTGTGACATAATAACGACGTTGTAGGAGCGACCTCACTTGCCGCGGATTATAAGCTGTGTGTTTTTCCTGTTATTCGGATAGTTCTTCGTTAGGGAAGAGAAATGAGATATTGCAGCGTCCATTTTTTGCAATCAAGATAAACGTGTAATTAACTTACTTTGCTTAGGGGATGCGACTACGTCATGTTTTTATTAGACGTTTTGAAGTAAAAAAGGGAAGCGCATTATGCAGTAAAGTCATTATGCATTTTCCTGGGACAGGTTCCTTGTTAAGCCTCGGGGAAACGTGCGATCGCTCCGGTACGAAGACGTGATACGGTCCTTAATCGCTCGATAGTCAAACGTTCTTCGTTTCAGGGTAATTGATCGATCACCGGGTAACTTCATCGTGGATTAAAACGGGGCGTGGGTCGATCCATTACCGTAAACGACCAGCTAGCAGAAGCTATCTAGAATAAACGACTATGCCTAGCGGACTGGCGCTATATAGGCATAGTCGTTTATCCAGGTGACTACGGTACCGTCGATGCTTCATAAAGAAATTTGCACGTTATCGCGCCGGTGAAATTTCACGATTGCGTCTTCTGGACGACGAGTGCACCGCACGAGTGAACTGGTCCGGAAAGAACTACCTCGGCATCGCACTTGTCACGCCGACCGCGCTCTGCGACGGCACTTCGAATGCATTCGAGACAAATCGAGCGACGCGATTGTAC